GCGCAAGGGGGATGATCGCACCACGTTGTGTTAAAATGGTCAAGCACCCTCGAGGCAGTTACACAGTGCTTACAACTGTCTCTGGAAGTGAAAGCACCAGAAAATAAATTAAGTCATACGCAGCTGTCATCCGTACGCAAGGAAGTAAGCACAAGATGCCGAACACCCTTAGCAGGATGCAGCGCACCCTTCATGCGACTCGCCGAATATCTCACGGCGCTTCGCGCTTGGTGATGTGAGAGCCTGGTCCGGTGAGAACCCGGCGTGCTCCGTTCCGGCTTTGTAGGGATGCGAGGTCAATGGTCTAACGACTAGGGCATGCGCGACTATGAGTACCCCCCCCGCCCCCCCCCCTCCAAGAGAACCCTGGTTTGCCAGGGTACGTATGTAATCCATGCTCCTTGCGCCCCGCAGCTGCCCAGACAAGCTTGCCTGCGACCGCAGGTCCATGGGAGAGTCGCGGAGAGGTCTTGAGTCGCGAAGAGGTCTGAATCGCCACGTCGAATTACCCGGGGCCCGGGGCCTCCCCCAGATTTACAAATCGGGTCCAAGGCTCGTCCTCCTTTCAGCGGGGGTCTCACGCGCTCCAGACCGCGCTTTGCGATGGTGTCGTCGTGGTGCATCAAGACCGCCCACCGAGAGAGAGTGATAGAAACTCCGGGTGTGCTCGCGACCCTACGCTCTATTTACAGTCCGTCCCGCATACAAAATACCTGGAGCAATGTCGACTCGCTCGCGACGCCTGGTTGTAAACTGTTGTACACCATCGACAAACTCGACCGCGCTTTTGTCGGGCGGCCGTTCGCTCAATGATCTCGTTGTCTTCAGCTACTATCTCGTTGCGTGGTACCTGTCTAGACTGCTGTCTCTTGTTATTCAGGTGCATGGTGACGCGGCAAGTATCGCACGGCTACAACCTCCTGCGTTTCACCGGTCTCCACTCTGACTAAAAAAATAGCGATATTTTCAACAAGGAAGAGGGGTATAATGCATACCTCCCTCGGCCCCCTTCTGTTCTCGAGCCCAACCCTATTAGTTGTTTTTTGTAAAATATTCACAATTATGCATCCAATGCAGTGCGAAGAAATTCGAGCGGAGTAACACTACGGTGTTTGTGTACCTCTCGGCAGCTGAACTGCTGTAGGTTGCACTCAAGCCATACCCTCACGAGTTCCTGCCCTTTGACCTGAGGCATCTACAGTAGTAGAATCAGACGCACTACTGCTGTCGCGCTTTGTTTGTTCCTCGATGTCTATTGTTGATACGGCACAGTCCATCACTTTGAGCTCTATTGGATATCCGAGTTGAGCACGTATTTTAGTGGTACACGTTTTAGAGAAACGGTTAGGTGCGCCTGCTTGAAAAAGGCGGTACCCGACCGCTCGTCAGCAACCACACGCGTACTTATCTCGAGATCCGAAACAGCTTTTATGAGCATGTGGATGCGACAGGCTGTAAATCACGTACCGAATGGTTGGGTGTTGCAGCAACCCTGAAGCAGCCTTAAACTGCCAAGTTCTTGAGTGATGGCGCCTCTGTAAACGAACACTTGAACTTTCAAGGGAGAACAATTCACTGCTATGGGCATGCTTGCAGTTTCCTTCGCACCTCGAACGCCTAACGCCCTTTCCGGCGTCTACACGGGGCATCGAACAACGAAGTTGGGCAGAAGCACGCTAGTTTTCAGACTCATCTAGAGTCTATTTGATAGTAGGTGCTCGTAGCTCACTCGGTGATTTTGAGGCGGTTGGCTTTCGGGAGGCACACTCTGCATCCGTGGCAAAGCTCCAAGGAATTTCCGACCGACCTCAAAAGCAAGGCTCCACGATACGAAATTGCAGCGCTGTCTATGTTCTCAACGCGTCCCGTCGGAGTACCGAAAGGATGCGAGAGAAGGGCATGGCACCGCAGGTACGATCGCTTTAATTTTATCAAGGTAGTTTGCTTTGGCTTTGTTTTTCGCACCCCGGCGCCATCTCTCCGATCGGTGCCATCTCTCCGACCCCGACGCGGAGATACATGTAAATCGCTTTCTCTACAACTTGCAAGGCACCCCGTTACTATCTCTCCGACCGGTGCGATGCCCGAATAATGCACACAGCGGCCTTCTGGGTTCGATCTCTCGGACCCCGGTGCGGACATGCAATGAGACCATGCCTCCTTTGCTTTTGTCGTACGCACGCTGGTGCCACCTCTCCGAACCGCACATCTCTCGTAACGTCACCGTGCACGTTTTTTTTTTCATCGTGTTTTTTATGCATGTCCCTCTATTTGATCCTCCCCTTGAAGCTTGCGGTTTTTTTTTCTGTAGTCGGACGTGGCACACTGGTCATGTTAATGTTCTCTATCCCAGGGGAACGTGCGTCGTAGTACCTTGTCTAGACGGTGACCAAAACGACCTATGGCGGTGTCGAACGATAAACATAGTTGCGTGCGAGCGTTCATCAAGCACGGTACGATGTTCTGGGTACGCGTTTTTGGTCGAGAGACGTAACTGGTACAAGAGAGAGAGCCAGTTCACCAGTCGAGTTGGAAAGCTGGCCATGAAATCAAATGGACAAATCTTTGATTTTTTTCGATTTCCGCACGGGGTCCACAGGGTGCGATGACTGTCAACCTCGGGTACAGTAGTAGAGTGCCAGCGATTCCGTGGCGGCTTTTACCCCTGAATCCATGTCCATGCCGGTGCTGGCATGTGAGCTTCGGTGTACAGCAGTAGTATGCGGCATCGTCGCAAACCACATACATTTTTTTTTTTTCTCTCATCATTGGACTTCCCCCCCGGTGTTTGCCATCGGCATAGGGGTTGGGTTTTTGTCGCTTGGCAACGACGTTGTAAAACAAGCCGCCCCCACCCCGGTGTTCCACCCCCTCGGTGTTTGCCATCGGGGTTGGGTTTTCGTCGCTTGGCAACGACGTTGTAAAACAAGCCGCCCCCACCCCGGTGTTCCACCCCCTCGGTGTTTGCCATCGGGGTTGGGTTTTCGTCGCTTGGCAACGACGTTGTAAAACAAGCCGCCCCCACCCCGGTGTTCCACCCCCTCGGTGTTTGCCATCGGGGTTGGGTTTTCGTCGCTTGGCAACGACGTTGTAAAACAAGCCGCCCCCACCCCGGTGTTCCACCCCCTCGGTGTTTGCCATCGGGGTTGGGTTTTCGTCGCTTGGCAACGACGTTGTAAAACAAGCCGCCCCCACCCCGGTGTTCCACCCCCTCGGTGTTTGCCATCGGGGTTGGGTTTTCGTCGCTTGGCAACGACGTTGTAAAACAAGCCGCCCCCACCCCGGTGTTCCACCCCCTCGGTGTTTGCCATCGGGGTTGGGTTTTCGTCGCTTGGCAACGACGTTGTAAAACAAGCCGCCCCCACCCCGGTGTTCCACCCCCTCGGTGTTTGCCATCGGGGTTGGGTTTTCGTCGCTTGGCAACGACGTTGTAAAACAAGCCAATTCACTTCGTGAACTCGGCAACCAGGTTACCGGGTTTTTTTCACCACTGCTTTTTTTTTTGGAGATAATCATAGTGGTGGTCAAGTAGATCATGTTGTGCGGGGTGGAGAACCCTCACTCCGC